CACATATTTAGACTTTTTGTTACTCCCACCAAGGAAGTTATGTTTCATCTGCAAATTACTGGGTTAAAAACCTGAATTTACAAACTAGTGTGCTTTACATATGCAATACGTAAATAAGCTCACCTTTCGTTTCAAATGGTTGCGCAAAACTGCTCATGCAAACTAATGATATTTTACGCAGCGCAGCTAAAGGAGAAGCCTGCATTCCCGTTGTTGGCTAAATCAAGAAGCAGTGACGACAAATTGTCTTTCAGTGAGTAGAGAGTTTTGCTTCAGCACTTCCAGTGGTGTGTGGGCGGTGTGCTGAACTTTTGTTTGGCAGTCCAATCGTTCAGTGGATAGATAGCACTGTGGCTCATTTACAAGCAACCATACACAAATCAATATCAGATGAGTGACCATTTGTGACAAACCCATCCATGCATGTGTCCACTAAATACAATACCCACAGGCACGTGAACATACACACGCAAAGTGATAATGCACGCACACACTCACACCTCTCCCTCATTCCTGTGCAATGGCGTACGGTCTGGAAACGCACAAATGTGCATGCAGTCTCGTCGGCGTGGTCGAATGAGAGAGTGGCGTGTAAGCGGCGTGTACCTGTGACTGGGAGGATGTACTCACCGCTCCCCCATTCAGGATCATGGTCATCTCGGTGGGCTGGTAGACGTTGCTGCGGAAAGGAGCGCTGGGCCTGGCGCCAGTGTTACTGTTGTGTTGCCCGGCACCACCACCGCTCCTCAAGCCTGGTATGGAGTACACAGAGTGGTGGACGGATATTACTCACTGTTACTCACCGCATCAATCTTGAAGGGAGAAACACTTGTAGTGTAATCCTGCACCACATAAATTTTCTCCTGTACTTATTTCTAGCAACACATGCAAATTTTCTTGGTGTTCTATTACTCACTTTGGCCTACATTCCTCGAATGCACTGTGTGCACATATTAAGCCAGTCTGCTTTAAAATAATGGATGGAAGTACCTGCAGTGTTCTCATCATTGTATCCGTAGCCCTGGTTCTCCACAAACTGCCTGTGAGAGAGAGGGATATCTTCATCAAAGCTGGTCTCTCTCATCCGTGTTGAATTCTGGGAGGTGTCAAAGTAGTCCGGGGCAGTGGGCTGCGGTGGGGGTCTCAGGCAGATGTGGGATTCAGGAATGGCATGGAAGATTAGCAGCAGCCAGCCCTGAGCGACTAAAGCGATGGCCAGTGCTGGATCATTCCAGTCCGGGGATCTCCCCAGCCAGGCATTTCCGTACAGGTAGAAGCCCACCCAAGCCACCCACAGCAGCAACGACAGCAGGCAGGTCAACAGCAGCCAAATGGCGTTGCAGCGCCACTGGCGTGTCTTCCCACACAGGGCCAAGGAGGCGGCAGTCAGTGCGGCCAGTAGGAGTGCTAGGACGTAGCTGCAGGCTAGTGAGAAGTCCAGAGGAAGGTACTGACAGGCAGCTCGTCCCTCCCGCAGCACGGTCAGAAGTAGCCACTCTGCAGCAATGATGCCCTGCACAGCACTCAAACCCAGCGCCAGGCCAGTGAGGGCGCAGCCACCAGGGCTCCGACGCTCCCGGCCTAGCCGGCGCAGACGGACACCCTGCACTAGCAAGCAGGAGAAGCAGACAGCAAACAGGAGACCCCACAGGGCCCTGCGGAGCAAACATAACGACTCATCCTGATCAATCAGGTAAGCAAAGCTCAGGCCGAACAAGCCAAGGATGCCAAGGAGGAGCAGGAGGATGGGTCCCACGCCGCTGCGCTTCTCAGCCTCACTGATGTGGCGTAAACGGCACAGCAGGACAAGAGCTAGTAAGATGGCCGCCAGGGTCCCGCCTGCAGCCACAGACTCAACAGCTACACCCCAGATGGAGTCCAGGTCGCAGAGGAGGGTGTAGGGACGCACGAGGCCCCAGCCACAGCCTCTTGGAAGAGCCTCAGAGTCCTCAGAGTCCTGACTGCTGGCACGATGAGCAACAGTCAGCAACAGCAGGAGGAGGACAGGGTGGAACGCCATTTCTGAGAGATCAACAGAACAGAAGGCAGAGAGGGAGATGATGAAGAGAACAAGGAGCAAAGAGGAGGCAATGGAGAAAGTCAAAGAAATGGAGGAAAGGGGGGAGACAGAGCAAAAAAGGAGTGAGTCATTCTGGTCATAAATGTTTTGAAGGCTACAGAACTGAGAGCGATTTCCACAGTTACCATCCGCCTGTGAGGAACAATACAGACAATCATCCACTGCTGTGTGTTAGCGAGGAAACAAAGGGCAGTAGTTCAGGCAGAGTGAATGACTGAAGCCTTCCTGACCACAAAACACACTAAAGTTTTTTTTAACCTTTTAAATGCATTTAGGTTTCAACACTTTCAAATAAACAGCACAAACATGGCAAAAAAACCTGACAAACCCAGAAAAGCCCAGATCAGCCGCCTTCAGTTCATTCACAAAAGAGTAAGGTCAGAGGCAGAGTGCCCACAATGCTACTAAGGAGAGTTTCAGCTGTGTTATTTGTCCAGTCTAGTCCAGTGAACCGGTGGCCAGAGCACTGACAGGAAAGCTGCAGCGTCATGCATATTTTAATGAAAAAACAAGAGATACAGAGAAAGGAACTACTGCGAACAAGCAGTTTGACTCACGATCAGGCATCTAGGGCCGTCTAGCTAGGCTGGAGATGATGCACAACACACGCAAATACACAGCGCCTCGAGCACGAATACTAACACTCCTTTTACTTTTGAGAGAAGTGTCCGGTTGAAACAACAACAGCATGCATGCCAAATCGATTATCTCAGTCTACCTCTTTCTTTATTCATCACAAACACACACACACACACACACACACACACACACACACACAAACACAAATACTGTATTTGTTGGGATGATCAGTGCTCCTGACAATCAGTCACCTGACAAGCTGAGTGTTTTATGGGAGGATGATCTGTATTTAAAGCCACACAAACACACACACACACACACACACACACACACAGAAACACATCCTGCCAGGTTACTGTCTTTCCAAGCGTAGTCAGCCATTACTGCGTTAAACAATCAGCTTTTGCAAAGTAGAAACACACACACACACACACACACACACACACACACTATGTTTCTATGCTCAAAGCCTCACTTGTTTTTCCTGTTACCTCTGCCAAGGAGGTTGTATTTTGGTCTTCATTTATTTGTTTGTTGTCAAGATTACACAAAAACTACACAACCAAATTTTGTGTAGGGGTGGGCCAAGTAAGACCCCATTCAATTTTGGTGAGGCTACGGATCAGTGGCCACCGGAGATGGGCGGTTCCACAACAGTTTTTTTCACATTGCGAGATCTGAATATTTTCATTGATTTCTCAGAGAATGATTAATGGATCTTGATGAAAAACAGACAGATACCTATGAGTGTGTTCATTTTGGTGAATTTAATGAATTCAGATGTGGTTTCATAAGGGGACTGTTGGGCCTTGGCGAAGGTGTGTTCGCTACTGACTGCCATTCTAGTTTTGATATTTAAAGTAAATCTGCTAGTGTCCACAAATAGACTGCACTGCAGTAATTACATATCACATAAAGGACAGTGGATGTCCCCAGCTTCCATCAGTTTAAACACACACCAGCCAAAGCTACAGGTCACACACAGGCCCTCCAGCATGTAGTGTATTAAATGGGACAGTCACAGAGAAGGAGACAAACCTCAAGAGGTCTGGTCTGGTGGATCTGCAGCAAATACACTAGAGCGGATTTTGACTGTAAGATGACACAACGTCTCTATACTGTTCAGATTCACTCTCACTGCTATAGTGCTGTTTTCTACTGATTTCAACATAAGCGCTGTAAAAACCCTCTACACTACCTGCTCAGACTCAAATCACACAGACATTGTTAGCAACAGTGGAACATTTAGCAGCTAACAAATCAATCATCATGTTTGCCTCTGCAAATGGTAGAGACCATAGAAAGTTAAAAAAAATAATTTATCTGAAACAAGAGCAAATATTGGACTTTATTCAGTATGTGGCCATAAATATGACTCTGTACCTCTTGGTAAGATTTTTATTGTCACACCACTAAATAAATAACTTTATTTACCTCCACCAAGGCCCAGCAGTCCCGTTATGAAACCATAATTGAATGTACTAATGCCATATCTTTATTTGGATCTTCATACACTCATAAATATAAGTCCCCTAAAGAGGTCCGCTGCCTGATCCAGATCTGCACCAAAATTTAAGGGGTTCTTTCCTGACGCCCAATTGTATCATTTTACCTTTTGTGGTCATCTGTCCTGTAGTTTTTGCATAATCTTTCTTACAATTAATAATACTGTAGCATGTGAGAGTGTGGCTGAGCTGCATTTCAATAAGACATTTAGAATTCAAGATTGAAAGACATACCCTTCACTCAGAACCGCTGGTTATTGGTCAATGTTAACATCAATCAGTTCCTCAGAGAGACGAGTCACCAAAACCACGCATGGAACTTTAAACACACACTTACACAAACACACAACAACCTATCAAATAGGTGGCAGGAACACAAATACACAAACATGCTCACACTCCTAATTAACTCAAACAGTGTGTCGTTTTCTCTGGTGAGCACCTGATAACCATGGTTACGCCCCATCTCAAAACGACAAGAATAAAACAAAAGGAAGAGGGGACAAAGAGAAAGGCTCACTCATCCTCAACATGTCGAGCAGACTAACTGCTCCTCCTCTGTCTTTTTTTGTCTTTCTTTGTTGCTGTCTTTGTCACTTCCTTTAGTGATGTGACTGTAAAATCACAAAGTTTAAGTCCACGCTCTCAACAAGAGACAAGACGCAACTGAAGCCTGCGTCCTGCACACAGGCGTTCTTTTTTAACTCACCCTCTCACCCAGTTACACCCTCTTGCACAGATGGTAGCCCTGGCTGCTTTTTGACTGTGATCTGGCAGATGAAGGATGCACACAGAGGGCTGCCAGCGGCCACACATGATCACATGCAGCCAGTCAGCCATACACAGACGTGCAAGATCACAAATGCTCATGCAAACATGTACGACACACAGGACATAACACACACCTACAGCACACACGCCACACACTGGAATCCTCTTCCCTGCCTGTCACTAATGACTCATGGAAACAGAAAGCAAGAGAGAGAGAGAGAGAGAGAGAGAGCCTCTGGCCTGAAGTACAGAGGATGCTGCCACCGTCTCATCCTCCCCACCCTCCTGTATTTCTAGAAATGTTTCCCTCTCTGTCACTCCGCTCTGTGCAGCCATTTCTGTCCTCCCCTCCATTTAAAAACCCTCAGTTCTGTCAGATTTCTATGCCACCTCTCCACCAGAGCACCCAGAGCGCTCTCATCTTCCTGCTACATTTGAAAACTTGCTGTGAAAGATGCGCCTCACACACCTTCTCTCCCCACATTTTCTCCCTCCTGTCACCCACCCCATCCATTTTGGCTTCTCTTTCTTCCTTTCTTGTTCCTCTTCCTCCTCAACCCCCCGCTCTGCCTTTATTCTTGCTGTGTATCTTATGTAACTGGGAGAGGGATCCAGCTCCTGCCAGTTCTGCTGCATGGCTGCTGTTTCTCATCATCTTCCTCTGTGCCAAGCAGCCTGCTGGCACTCAAAGATCCATCTTAGCTTTGTGTTCTGCACATCGCAAGGGTTACATGCATTCATGTTGCACGTGTCACTCTCATGCACGTTGACACAGACTGGCACAATGCCTGTGTGTGCAGGCTCTATTTGCATGGAAATATACCATTCAGTTTAGTGGCATGTATTGCGCATATGTGTATGTGAAGGCAGCACATTCTCACCCATTGCTGAATTTGGCAAGTATGCAGCATGCATTCCTTATAGTGCTGCTGTGAACACACAACAGGGACACAAGTGTGAGAGTGCAAATGTGCAGTGCTGCAGTCGTTCAAATGTATTCCAAGATCTATAGCAGCCCGTCCTGTGCAATTACAACTTCCAACAGCTATCAGACATGGAGCACGACCAGATGCTGTGTAATTACCGTGGTGATAATTGGGAGGATTATTGCATTTTGACGACTCACTTAAAATCTCTTTTTTTCCTCCAAATGTTTGATTCAGACAGGAGCAATAATGGAAAAACGTGTGTGTTCTATATTGATAGAAACACAGCGAGCCGGCTGTTTATGTGAGCAGGTCATTCGTGGGTCCTGTGCTGGCATCTGCTTTCTGAAGATGCTATTTGTTACAGACCTCTTTTCTGACACTGCATGCATTTACATCTTACATCAGTAGCCACATGCGCTTACATAACGCCTTGAGTCATAATAGATTAAGCCACTCTGGTTTAAAAACGCATCTGGGCTTCAACATAACTTTGCTCTGCTCGAATAGCTGACACACCATTCTTAAAATACATTGATAATATATCTGTCTCAAGTTATCCCAGATTGAATTAAGTGTGGATAACTGGCTTGAAGTAGCTTCCAGTGTTGGAGTATATCATCTGAAACAGCATTTTAATTGGAGGTGAGAGAGAGGAGGTTCAAAAATGGCTGTGATATATGACATATATAGCACATGCTTTATTCTCTGATTCAGATTTCTCTTTCAGATTTCTCAGCATAGATTCACTCTCATGTGATGACGACATTATTAGACAGATGGATGATTTCCTTGAAAAATAGAAAATGAACGCAGTCACCCCACAACTGAAACCTCGTCCAACTCCACTCTTATGAATCCAACCAATAGCTGAACCTTTTGTAGCCGATCTTGACAAAACAATCCCTCGCAGCTGATTGTGACAGATGACAAGATGGGAGTAAAATGGAATAAAGAAGAAGATAAACGGGAGGAAGCAATAGACGTCAGGGTATGACGTGTGAATGTGATAAAATATTAAAAAGGAGGTGGTGGGGACACGTTTTAGAGAAAAAATAGACTCACAGACACAGAGGGAGAAAGAAGGCCTTGGGGGGGGGGGGAGACAACACACACTGGATGGCGAGACTGAAGAGGGGTGGTCCATTCACTGCATCCGCCTCCAGGGTGTCATCATGAAAAAACTGACAGTGGAAATATTTTCCCTAGCCGCCTC